GCGGGGGCCTCGGGTCCGCGGGGGCTGCTCCGGCCTCGCTCGGCCGTCCTCCTCGGCAGCAAGCGGCCGACGTACGCCGTGGCATCGCTCGGACACGTACTTCTTGCTCGGCGAGGGCCCTCGAGGATCGGGCCGGACGCAAGGGAGGGATAGGGAAAAGGGGGGCTGCGAAATCTGCTGCATGTAGCTGGCTTCGGCCCCACCGAGGGGCCCGTTCCTCAATACATGGGCGCCTCCGGCGCCGGGAGGCGCCGGGAAAATCAGCGACGCGAGCTGATTCTCAAACCCCCCCTTTGCTAGCCCCCCTCTTCCGCCCGGCCCGAGAGAGGGGCCTTCTGGGTCATCTTGCGGAAAGATTCAGGAGGAAAAGAAACACACAGACACAATTAATCCTCGATTCCCCAGAAAATATGGGAAAATATGGGAAGTGGGGGGGAAGACAGAAACCCCCAAAATATAGGAAAATATAGTGAATATTTTTATTTGTGTGTATTTATTTGTGTGTCCCAGGGCCACTTCAAAGATGCACGGGCGGGGGATGGACGTCCGAGCGATGGAGAGGCGCACGCAGAGAGGCTGGAGACGCATGGGGCGTTCCAGAGAGGGCCTTGCCGTCGAGGGTCGAAGGAGTGGCCATCTCTTGCTCGGCGGGAGGCCGGCGACGTAAGGCGGCGAGCGTCAGAGGTGCGCCTTCAAGAGAGGGCGAGATGTTGGGGGTCCAGGATGGACGGGATCGGCCACCTGTGCGGGCTGGGCCCAGCCGTGTTCCATGCTTTGGGCTTCTGTTTTTTTTCTTTTTTCCTCTCGTCGGGCCACGCCAGGCATGAACAAGTGTACTCCAGATTTCGTAATAAAAGGGAGGGGGGTCTGATTTCGGGGGGGGTCTCTTCCAGGCTGCCTTGGAGGGCCTGGGGGGGTCTGGGGACGATGTTTTGGAGGGTTCTCGCACGGGGGGGGGGGTCTGAAATGGCCCGTCTTGGAGGGTCCAGACCCCCTCCCTTTTATTACGACATCTGGGGTAGTGCAACCCCTTTGAGCAACAGCCCTTTGTGCTTGCCAGTTCCTGGTGCAGGGGACCTTTCGCGCTCCCGGTTCGGAGCGCTCCTCGGCCAAGTGCCTGCGACGGCCTGCATGCATCGGCATGGCGGCAATACATAATCGGGGGAGAAAAAGATACGGATACGTGTCGTCCCCCGTCGTTTTCGGCCTTTCCTGGTCCTCCTGGGGAATCCTCGTTGTCACCGCTGGATTCGCCTCGAAATTCTGGTCAGAACGCACCCCAAGAGAGGTCCGGGGACAACACGTATCCGTATCTTTCCGCCCCCCAACATAAGCTCGCTGGAGTCAAACAGTTTCCCACCCTGCCCTCAACCAGGGCTAGACCAGGGCTGCTCCGGCCCACCCTGCCCTCTCGGCAGCACTCGGCCAACGTACGCACAAGATCTGACAGGGGTCGACCCAAACGGTGTTTTGGCGATCTCGTGGGCCGTTTTCGTTTCGATCTCGTTCTGCAGCAAAAAGGCGGATCGAAGACAAAACGAGGGTGAACGAAAGCAAAACGAAAACGAAACACACGGTGTAGGGCGATCCCTGAGATCCAAGCAGCACAGAGTTGTATAAGGCATGTTTTGTGATGTTTTCCGCAGTGTGCACACTTCCGTTCGCTGCAGACTTCCAGGTCCTCCGCAGCGGCAGTTTGAAGCTCGTCTCCACACTCAGGCACGGATGCATCGTGCGTGCGGCAAGGTGTGGTCTGAGTTCGCGTGTCTCTTGGACCCCTCTTTGGACCCATCTTGGAGTGCTCTTGGGCGCTTCCTCGGAAACGTGAACATATACAGTACCAGTGGCGGGCTCTCGTTCAGTCCCAGGACATTTTGAGGGTCGGGGACGACGTTGGTGCGGTGTATACTCTTTCCCCGTTTCCCCAGGGAAACAACGGAACATGTATACACCAGGACCCCACATACACCAGGATCCGCTTTCTTGTGATAGTTTCAGCGCAGGGCCGGAAAAAGCGTTGGTGTATAGAGTTCGGTTCCCTACTTCCGGGGCCGCCTTGGGGCTGTCTTGGGCATCTCTTGGAGCCCTCTCGGGCCCTTTTGGAGCCATCTTGAGGCTTCCGAGGCCATCGAAAGCCAAAAAGCGAGAAGGCCAAATTCATTCATTTTCATTCGGTGATTGAAGGATTCTAGCCTTTTGGCGGCCTCCTGGGGAGGTTCCGTGGACACTTGGAGCCGTCTGGGAGCGGTCTCCGAGCTTCTAGGAGCATCTGGGAAGCCATCTGGAGACATCTTAGGCTATCTTGAGCCATCTTGCAAGTCATCGTGGGCTCTCTGAGGCCGTTTGGGAGCCATCTTGGGCCAGCTTGGACGCTCCGACGCCCCGCGACCCCCCCCCCTCCAGGTCCAGGGGAGGGCGTATGAGCAAGCTAGGTGCGCTTGCGTCATGTCTGACGTCCTACCCCTCCCTCCCATCCCTTACCATGGAGTAGATCCCCTCCCTATTCGCACAATCGGATGTCGTATCATGGCATAGAATTGCATGGCATAGCATGGTGTCGAAGATCAACGTGTATAATGATATAGCATGGCGTGGCGACGCTCCAAGGTGGGGCTTCTGCGGCCCCATAAATCAACGAATCGACACCGAATGTGGAATCACTTCCGATGGTTTCTTCGGGAGGCTATTTTCTAGATTTTGGTGCCGATTTGGAAGGACCGAACACCATGCCAGGGCATGGCACTCGAAGTAATGACGCCAGCGCTGCAGCGGGAGCACGGTTCGGAACGAGCGGAAGCGCAGAAATTAGGCCAGTGTTGCAGCGGGAGCAAGATTCGGAACGAGCGGCAGCCCGAAAATGAGGCCAGCGCTTCAGCGAGAGCAACATAGCGAAAAACACCAAGCGCGGAAGCGCGGAAATGAGGACGCGTAGCCTGACATATCATGGCCTGGCGACGCCCCAAACTGGGGCGGGCGGGGGCTTCCGCGGACCAAAAAATCAACGAATCGACACCGAAAGTGGAATCACCTCCGACGGTTTATTCGGAGGGGTCATTTTCTTAATTTGGGGGCCTACTTGGAATGACTGAGAACCATGCCGCCGCATGGCGCTGGAAACAATAACGCCAACGCTGCAGCGGGACCACGACTCGGAACGAGCGGAATCGCGGAAATGAGGCCAGCGTTGCGGCGGGAGCACGATTCGGAACGAGCGGTAGCCCGAAAATGAGGCCAGCGCTCCAGCGAGGGCAGCAGTATGAAAAACAAACGAAACCCCAACTCCCGGGAATCCTGTATGTAAAAGACAAGTACGCGAAGGGGGGCCTCACACTCCCCGGACGCCACCAGTGGAGAGAGGAGAGTAGTATTCAAGTTTTCATATGGTTCATATTGTGTAATTGTGGAGAGGTGAGCCTCTCCAGGTCCAGGGGAGGGGGTATGGGGGAGAGAAACCGCCCTAGACCACCTACGCCCAGAAGGCTGTTGGGATTTCTGACTGGGCCTCGTCATTTTCATGATGGCCCCGTCAGGCCAACCCCGAGTCCCCGGAACCCGAGTCTTGCGTCTCCCCGATCCCCCTGCGGGATAACGATCCAGTCGGGGCCCGGCCCACGCGACCGAAGCCGCAGGACGCGGCCCGCTCTTGCGGGCATGGCACCGTGCTCCCTTCTCTCTTCCGCACCTCAGTGACGGGGAGGATGTGAAGCATGATGAGCGTATCTCGTGGCCATACGGCTCATCCTGCCACCTTGCCCGTTTAGGTCTCTTGGGATGCGCCTCGGGGGCCTCGTGGAGGCCTCTTGAGGGGTTCTTGGGGCACCTTCTCGGGGGCCTCATGGAGGCCTCTTCGGGGCCTCTTGAGACCTTTCGGTCGCTTCTGGGGGCTCGTGGGGGCGTTGGAGGTCTGGGGGGCAGTCTTTAGGGAGAAGTCGTGGGACGCTCCACTCAGTGCTCACAGTACAGTGGCGGAAACAAGAGCAGTATGGCATTCAAAGGATTCGGGATCCTTTTCTGGGGCGCTTTGCGGCAGGCATGCTTGCCAAGTGACATCTCTCGATTGCTAATTGCACCGTCGGTCTATCTAATTCCGTATCCTGCTCTTCTCGCCGTTCGACGGGCTCATTGCTGGTTGGATGACGGGGTTGGCGGGCCCGATGCAGGTGCAGAAAGAATGCGGAGGAGGAGGAGGAGGAGGAGGAGGAGGAGGAGAAGGAGAATCAGCGGCAGACGGGAGACCTCGCACGAGGGCCAGGGCCAGGGGAGCTCGTGTGGGCCGTCCTGGGGGTTACTGGGCGCCTCTTGGCATCCACGCGTCGCGTGGCCCCACCAGCCCATCCGTCAAAGAGGCCCATACGAGTTGCCCTGATTAGGGATGTGGAGGAGCATGCAGTGGAGTGAACTACAGAGCAGAGGGAGGGGGAGGAGGGAGGAGGAAGGAGGAGGGATGGGCGATTGAGGGAGAGGATGAGGAGGAGGACGATGAGGAGGACCAGTGTAAACCCAAGATGGTACGCCCTCCCTCCAAGCTCCTTCTTCACAGTGCCCTACAAGGGTTCATTTCCACTGAGGGCATTGCCCTGTTGGGGGACAGCCGTGTGAAAATTCTGACGCTTGGCAGAACACAGTTTTCAGTGCTTCGACGCCACTAGTTGACCTGACTGTTGCGTCTTGGCGATCCTGAAGCGCGCCAGAGCACCCTTCCTGGGCTCCAGCACCGCGAGCCAGCAGAACTGCTGCGCCCTAGCAGTCCTGACTCGTTTCAAAACACCATGCCCGGCACGTTAACTACGACAACACATGACACTCTCGCATTTTTGAACACGAGGGCCACATTTTGAAAAGGACTAACCCTCACTCCGTGAATATCTTGCAGCTTTTTGGTAAACTGATCTTTTTCCTGAGAGGGTAGCGCGTGTCACGTGGCGGGGGGGGGAGGTGACGGTGACGGCGGCCGCCGGCGGGGGGGAGGGGGGGGGGAGGGGGGGGCCGCGGCGAATGCT